AAAATTTTTTTTTAAAAAAAAAAAAAAAATTTTTACAAAAAAAAAAAAAAAAAAAAAAAAGGAGACTTGAATAATGACTGAATTTTTAAATATTTAAATCGTTCACGCTCTGCACTTGGATGTTTCACAAGAAATCACCAAAATATAGAGAAGCCGCGCTGGGAAACTACAGTCGGCCTACTTTCGGTGCTCCTAAGTAGGCCACAGGGACACGGCAGACTGACGGTCCTAGATGAGCCCCGCGTTGAAGAAACCGCTCCACTTCCAGCACTGATTGCATCTCAGCCCCTGACACACGGACCGTGGCCTGGTTTAAGCGCTCCACGACACCCAGACCAATCTATTAGCCTCTGCCTATCCACAAACACCGCCTGCTCGGCGATGACAGTAATTCACCCGAGTCCAGTTTCAACCTGGAGTCCAGACGTCGACCTCGGGGGCGATTAAAGAAGGTTTCAGTGCGAATAATTCAAAATGAAGGACGGATAAAGTCGAAAGTGAGCAAAAAGCTTTACCTTATGCAGGGAAAAAGTGCGAACGCAGAAGGTGGCAAGCTCCATCGTGTCCAGCAGCGTGACCTGGGTCATCCCGTATGTCTCCGTGCCGCGACTCGGCCAGTACTGATCGCACTTGATCTGTCGGAGGTACAAACACACGAGCGAAAAACAAGATGGACATTTTGAACGCAGGTAAAGTAGATCAATGTGTTTCAGTGCTTGAGATGAAGCAAATTGTGCATTTAGGTCACTGGGTAACGGCCCGGTTTCCTAACCCGAGATTTCTCCTCCAGCCGCGTCATCATGACGACAGAGGCGGTTCGCTGCTCCCACACCATCCTCCAGAAGTCCCCGAATGTCTCCGCCAGGGGCCCCTGTGTGGCGATGTAGGCGTTCTGCTTTCTGTACCCGTCGATGAAGTTAGCATTGATGTAGTCACTCCCCAGGATACCTGCGAAACAAAAAACCCCTTTGTGAGGCTCTCGATAAAAGCAGCAATCTGCATAAGCGCCGCGTTAAATTAACCTCCTTGTATGACATCAAGCGATCAAACGAAACGGCTGTCTCTGGCAGCCGCGGCTTTCACGACGGAGCGACGGCAACACAAACACAGCGCTCCGCTGCAAATTCATGAGTCTCAGATCAAACCCGTCCGTTCTCCCGCTTCTTGTTTCCGGAGAGGAGACGGCCGCACTCGAATGCACTCGCCGGTGTTTGTGGGTTTCATGCCAATGCACACGGCGGGTCTTCAGCAGTGTTTGCAAATTTCAGATTTCACCCATCACGCAGTGGCTCACTCGCCCTCTCCCTCTGAAAAACCTCTGCCAGGTTCACGCAGTGACCTCAGATTTGTTCAGACTCTCTCCCGTCAGACACTTCTTGCCCCCCCGGCTCCCCTGCTGCCGTCTTCGGACAAAACTCACCGTCTATGAGAGCCAGAACAACTCGGGTGTGGTCGTACGCGATGACGTTGGCGTAGCGGTTTTTGGGTTTATTCACCTCCAGGTTGGAGTGCTCCCAGGTGAACTGCTGGCTGGGGTCGATCGACTGGAAGAGAAAACCGACATCGCTCGTTAAAAGAGGCAATATGTTGTCACGATTCTACCACAAGCTTTAGCAGAGGATGTTGTGGTTTTGTGTAAGCAGCAGCATAAAATCCACTATTTCTGTGCTACTTTCATCCTGTTCTTTTTTTTTCTTTCTGTATTGTATTTTTGTTTCTCAATTTTGACTTGCTTATAAAACGGTTTTAAAAAGATCACAGAAAAAAAAAAAAACTAAAACTGTATAAAATAAATAAAATCCACTTCAAATAACACCCTGCAAAAGCGACTTAGTACATAAACTGATTCCACTTGCGTGTCAGTTTAACTCTGTGTAAATCCAGATGTTATGCGAAGTCGCTGTTAGGGAACATTAGAGAACAAAACAGCTCTGTTCCTACTGAAAAAAAGCAGAATAAAAAAAGGAAAGGAAAGGAAAGTTGAGGAAAAGTTTAAATCTCACCGTAGGAAATACTTCAGTTCAACGCTCCTAAGAACGGTTGTTAACAGCAAACTTGAGAAAATGTGTTGTGATGACTGTTGACAAGAGCAGGAGCTTCTTAAAGTGACAGAGGCCAATTTCAAGGCATCTTTTAAGTCAGGTTTGATATGTACAGCATATTTATAACAACTAAAGATAACGTAGTTACTTGATTGTGCTATAAAATAGCACTAAATACATAATAAAACCTAATGTTTGTTACTGGTTTCTCAGCTGGTGACTGTATGTTGTGTTTGTGACTTTATTTTTGTGGTTTTTATGATGCAAAGCACTTTGAACTGCCTTGCTGCTGATCGATTGATAACACCCCGCTTTGAGATTCAAGTCTGTCGTTGTTCTAAAGTGTAAAAAGTAAAACAAAAATGAGGTCCTTTAATCACAAAAGAAACACATGGACACACAAAATGTGTTAAAAAGGCACATTGGGAAAGGAGAGCATGAATCAGAGAAACAAGCTAAGAGGCTTGTAGTTGACTCTGGAGAAGCTGCAGAGATCCACAGCTCAGGTGGAAGTACCTGTCGAGAAGACAACTACTAGTTGTGCACGGCACAAATCTAACCTTTATAGAGCGGCAAGAACTAATGTTGAAAGGAAATGCAGGAGAAGTGCTCTTTAAATTGTGCCACAAGTCGTATGGGAGACAGTCTGCAAAACAGGCCATTGTTGAAGAGTGGCAGAATAAAAAAAAACGATAAGAAGTCTCATTTGCAGTTTATCACAAAGAGAACAAGGAAAACACGAGGAAGGTGCTCTGCTCAAATGAGACCAAAGTGTAACATTTGCATACGAAATGCAATGTGTGGCGGAAAACTCAACCTGCACTTTCCCTGTAATCGTGGTGCTTTTTTCCAGTGGGAATAAAGAAAAATTGGCAAAATAACAACAACAACAACAACAACAAAAATAAATAAATAAAAGCAGCCTCCAGACGTTCAAAGCTGGTGGAAACAAAAGACATTCAGCGGCAAAAGGTGGCGCTAGAAGGCACTGATTGATGGACGACCAACACAAAAAACCAAAACTTTCTAGACTTTCATTTGTAATAAGAAATGTATCAACAAATCATCTTCTTTCCACTTGATATTTTTGCTCTACTACATGTTGATCTAACCAAATATATATATAAAAAAACTGCAGAACTTTGCCGCTTTAAAATTCGAAAACAGTTTAAACGGCACGATTTTTTGTTGTTGTTTGTCGTTTTCGAACGACACAACGGAAAGTAACAACAATAAATCGTGTCGCTGAATAAATCACGAACGTACAACCTGCAAACAGATGAGCGTTCAATAACATTTGGTGTACGAGGCGCATCAGGCCTCGGCATCTCTAAAGAGCGAGGGACGTCGTCTGCTTATTTATTTATGCGTATGAAACGATGATGTATTACTCACCTCGTACTCTTGGGAGAGTCTCAGGTTATCGTTGGCTTTCAGCAGCTCGATGTGCTCAGCCAGCTCACTGATGGGGATGGGGGGGTGGCTCATCATTCCTGCGTTACACGGACGGGGGGTCAGAGGTGTGACGCCGCGTTCAACTAAACAACCCAAATGACTGAAGATCGGCTTCACTTTTCATGCAACAACGTGAGGATAATTACACAAAGCGGCGACATCACATGCCATTAAGAAGCACGCTGAGGCAGAAAATCAATTATGATCCATGTGCGAGGACAGGGCGAAGTGAGGCGAGTCTTTTGTTTGGGAATTATTATTATCATCATTTTTATTTATTTATTTTTTATTTGTTTTGATAAATTGCTTTTTCCATGTTTGGAGGAGCGGTGACTTGGAGAAAACAAACACAGACAGCGCCCTAATTAGGGGGGTTGAGCGAGCGCACGTAAAGGAAGCTACCTCTGGCTCCTTCGGTAATTTCGTTTCACAGCTGGCGAGGGGAAAGTGAGGCTAGAGCAATCTATCCTCATTTAAAAAACGGCGAGCGGCTACGTCAATGAATCAAGGCAATGTTTCCGCCTTCAAAATGAACCCCGAGCCAGAGGCGCCCTGGATGTTTCTCCGGTTTCGAAATGACCGAAATGATTTATTTATTTATTTATTTATTTTTTCATTTTCCCCCCTCGCAGAGGTTAACCACGACAAACCCTGCTCCCGTCACGACCACGGCGACCCCGGCCCGGACACAGCCGGACGGTTTCTGCTGGAGATGAGTTTTCAGCGGCGCGGAGCGCCGTCTCAAAAGAACAAATCTCCCAGGAGGAGGAGAGGAAGAAGAAGAAGAAGAAGAAGGAGTGGGCGAGGAAGGAGTCTCAAGGTTGCTGCCACACATGGAGGATAAAAAGTCTTGTGATGAAAGCGAAGAGACGAGGCGATGAGGTCTGCGGGGGTTTTCTTTGCCTCCCGACAACATGTAAAAATAGAAGAGTTAAAGCTTTTATCTGTTGATTAAAAAAAAAGCGAATGCGTCTTTTATGACCTTTTTTTTTTTGTAAGCTGGCAGGTAACCTTTCTCCGTGCTGACAGATCCCGACACCTCCTCAAAACGAGATGCGGTAGCACCGGCAAGCTGCAGCCATGAACAGAACAAGAACCGTAATTTAACTCCTTTCATGTGACTTGAATGCAAAGCCAAGGAAAGCAGGAGGAAAGGAGCATCCTTGGACACGACTACAGAAAGGTGTTTTTCAGATCTCTCCAGATATGGCAAGCCATTAATTAATGTTTTTTTTCCCTCAAATGATCACTATTAACCACTGACACATATTTTATTTTAACTTCAGGAGCTCCGACGCCTCTCTCCGGCAGCCTGGCATGTTGGGACGTGGGCGGACGGACGTGGTGAGATTTTTTTGACACAAACGTTGTGACTCAGACGTGACTAATCACTGGACTACCAAGTTGCTCCAATGGGGAGCAACTTTTCTTTTCTTTTAAAGTTATGTTTGCATAATTTTTTTTTTTTTACAGTGGATAAAATTAGCTGCATGAATATTTTATTTATGAATTACACTAAATGAGCCTTTGGAAGTTGAATTCATCATGCAAAAACTAGAGCGCACGTCTGCGCAGGCTTCATACCAGGAGTCTGGAAATTGATGCGTCTCATCTCCACGGGGTCCGTCGGGTGATGAGCCATCATCTCCGCGTTGCTCAAAAGGCTCTTGGTTCCTGGTTCAGAGTCTTTGCGCTTGCTGATCAGACACCGGTAAAAGGAGAGGGAAAAGAAAAGAGAAATCAGCCATTACACCTAACCAGTCTGACTCAGCATCATTAGCGTTTCCACTCGGGTAAAGTAAAAAAGCGCAAAAGCTCTCGCTGTGTTTTACGGATTTCTTCAATTTCTCTGTACGGCCTTACGGTTAAGCATGTAATTGCCGCAGGTTAAAAAAGAACAAAAGAGTCCGACATCGGTTTAATCTTACCTGTCAGGTTTGCTGCTTCCCGCGAAACAAAGAGCGAGGGTCGGAATAATTAGAGGCAGAAAAGGAAGGAAACAAGAGAGATGGTTTAGAGAGATAAATCAATATTGCTGCATTAGTATTCAAAAGCCTGATGACTCGCAGCACACATCACAGGCGTACGGCGGGGCTCGGGCTTTGACGGCTGTCTGCCGCCTGAACAGACTTCTAGACTGGAACAAATTTGATGGATTTTGGACGTTTGGATGAAAGAGGCAGAGCGGTAAACACATCTGCTGGTCGGAATGTAAACAAGAGCTGCAAGCAGACAGAGGCAAGATATTTTACAGCGAACTGCAAGTATCAATACAGCACTTTGTCCTTGTTATTGCCACAAACCTCGACTTACTTTATTGAGAATTTATGTGACAGACCAACACAAAACAATTCATAAAATGAATACACGGCTTTCAAAATTTTGTTTCTACAAGCAAAATCTGCAAAGTGTGGTGTGCATTTGTATTCAGACTACCATGAGGCCCCTAAATAAAACGCAGTGCGACCTGTTGCACGCTCCAGTTGTGTGCAATTGAATCGTACCGTAGGTACAGATGTTGTGTAAAGTCTGCAGAAGTTTGCCATGGAATATTAATAATCGCAAGCCACCAAATAAGCTTGTGGTAACTCTGGAGGAGGTGCAGAGATCCACTCAGCTTCAGCTCAGGTGGGTGAATTTATTTATATTAGCCATTTTACTCCTTTAAAGAAGAAACTAACTGTAGGAAGCAATTGGAAGTCCCATTTGCAATTTGCCCCAAGCCTCCACAGAAAACGTGGAAAACGGTGAACACTACTACACAGTCGTATTCAGTAGATTAGAATATACATCGTGATGATTCTTGTTTGTTGCATTAAAAGTACTTTTTTGACAGTAACAACCTCCAAGAAACGTATGTCTCATTAAGCCGGCATTTCATTTTTTTTTTTTTATTGGTCTGACTCTATTTTTAAATTGTACGTTTTCATTAGTTGTAAGTGGGAAATAAGCACAATTAACAGAAATAGAGGCTTTCAAACATCAATCTGTTTGTTTGTAATGAATCCACACAATGTGTTCCACTTAGTGATAAGGCTCTTACAACAAAACGGATCTTCAATAATATTCTAATTTTTTTTAATTAATTAGTGTGTATATGTTCAAAAGCCAATTCTGCACCTGAACCTGAACACACCATCTACAAAAGGATGGAAACATCTCAAAACATCCCAAAAGGTTATACTTTTTTCTTTTTTTTGTTTTTAGTGGAGACAGGGATGACAGATGAGACTAACGGCAGACGACCTGACAGAAGCTGTAAATAACTCGGGACTGGAACAAAGCTTGAATTTCCAGCAGAGCAGTGATCTTAAACACACAACCAGAACTAAAGACGAACAAAGAACCAGTGAAAGAACCAGTTTGACTGAGGTTGAGTTTTTTTTTTTTAAACACTAAAAAGACAAAAATGTCTGAAGACTATGACGACACATCTGTTGTCATGTCAACTTTTGCTTCTGCTTTCAAATTATGCACAGTGCTACGTTGATCTATCACATAAACCCCCAGTAAAATATTGAAGTTTATGGCTGTACTGTGACAAAATGTTAAAAAAGTTCAACGGGGAAAAAAAGAAAAATTGTTGCAGCGCACCGCCCGGTGGCGTTGCTTCTTGTAAAAACACTCTCCTGCTGCCATAAGCCTACATTGCCACATCGCATGTGCATTTATTCAGCTTAAAAACAGTCACTAGCACAGACATGTTTCTGCACACAGCTCTTGCATAAAATTACTGGGATCGGGTGTTTGATGCAAGTGTGAAAAACAACTGAATGGTGACACACTGGGAGTCAGAAAGCCCACTCAGAGAAGTTTTTTGTTTTTTTACTACGTAGGAAAAGCGTAGACTAAAGCCAGTCTCATCCTCTAGGAGAAATCAAAGCTGCTTTGGCATTTACTCGGTGCAACCGATGCTATGAGTCATCACTGTGGTTGAAAACTTGACATTTGTCTTTTCATGACGCTCTGCCACTCACTTTTTGTAAAGGAGGATAGCAATAACGATGCAGATGATGAAGACAACGGCCAGGACGGGTCCGACCACCCAGATCAGTCCGTCGCCCGCATCGAAGGGCTGGGGGTCTGAGTCCGGGGCGATCACTTTGTCTGTGTAAGGGCTGGCCACGTACATCCTCTGCACAGCAATGTCACAGGAACATTGTCAGAAAAATGCAGTTTTGTTTTTGTTGCATTCACCTAAGACCAAAATATGAAAAACGTACAAAAAGTAAAATGTAAGAATTAAACTTAACAATAAAGATGTCTTAAAAACCTTTATATCAATCCAACTTTTATTATAATCATATCCTGCAGTCGTCGTTATTAGAAAAATCAAGCTTTTAAATGGGGAAAAAAAATTATCAAATTATTTATTTAGTCTAAATCCAGCTTAGGACCAGGGACTGAGGTGGCAAATATAAATGGTTCATTTTGTGTCAGGTCAAGCATTTCTGTGTTGATTTAGCCATTTATTTTAGATAATTATCCTGCTAAACATTTTGCTCCTAACATTTTTTTTTCTAGATTTTTATTTAAAACGTTCTGGTGATTTAACCCTTTCATGCATAAATTATGATCCTTTGTTTAAGGATTTTATTCCAATTAGTTTTACTTTCTGAAGGCATAAAAAAAAGGTAGGAAATTTTTTTTTATTTTTTTTTAGGTGATCAATTGTAATTTTCTCCAAATACAAAGTTCTTATTTGAAAAATACATTAGTAATATAGTTCTTTATGGGTTATCTGATGTCACAATATTTGTTTTTACCTGCAAGAGTCGTCTACAGTAGAAGGAGGGACCGGGTCGGTGCTTTTTTGTCTGTCGGCCATATTGGATTTAACAAAAATAATTTTTTGCATTTGCAGCTGATGGTCAGAAGTTGATGGTGCATTTTATGATGCATTAGTGTCCACTTCAGTGGACTGTGTGCATTTATAACATAAAAAATCCACAAGAAGCACAAGAAGATGGCTTTTAGACGGCTGTCCACTGTAGTGACCACTGTGCATGAAAGGGTTAAAAAGTCAGTTATGTCACACGCTCTATAAAAGCCTGAAGGCTTTCGAAGGGAAACCGTAGTCGCAGCATGACACATTCTCAACCAGTCTAAACAATGAGGATGAGGCACTTTCTCAAAAACAATTTCATTTTGTTGGCGAAAAGTTCAATCTTAGTCTCGTGTAGCTTTAGCGTAGCAAAATTCAGGAAACCTGTCATATTTGCATTCAAATGTCAGAAAAGTGTGGCATGCCTTTCCATGCAGCAGGTTTTGTCATAATTTCCTCCAGTTCACAAAGAATGAGATTTTTCATATTTGTTACATCTTCTACCTCACTGTGAACGGTAACGAGATAAACTTCATTCTTGTTTTGACTCGGCACATTTTCTTGTCTTTCCCTTTTACATTTTGACATCTGAGCTGCATTGCACTCATGCCACGAAAAAGAGGACATGGAGAATAAATGAAAAAGGTTCTACACTCTAAAAAAAGAGCACTCGAAGAGATGACGCAGCAAAAAATGTTTCACTTAGACGCTTTTAATAGTTTTTTTTTATTTAATTCAATAATAATGGCACTGCAGATATTGTTAAAGCAGTTATTACTGTGATTTTTTTTTTTTTTTAATATATGCACTGGAATCAAAGGGTGGATTTCTCTTTTCTTTTCAGTGTGCAATTATGCTACTGCAAAAAGGGATGGACTAATTTTTAGGCTTTGTATTGTTACAGGACTGTTGCAAAGGATTGCATGGGACAAACCAGACACAACTAATTTAATGTGAGGATGTTACAACACAAAGGGACTGCCTACTCTTTCCAAGCTCTGAACTGCTGCATTTGTATTAGTTCTGAAGAGCTCCTACAAAATATCCTTTGGGCTTTTGTTCAATTTGAAATTCTATTATAATTCATATTACATATGTATGTTTTTTTTTTTTTTCTAGTTGAAATGCCTAACATGCCAGCAGTGCACAGAGGAAATAATAGCTCCCTCTTTATTAGCAGCAGTGATGGAAGTGTGAGAGGCTTATTGCATTTGCCAACCACACTTTGACTAACGGGAATTGTATAGTTTTAGCAGTGCGGCCGGTATCGATCACGACTCATAGCGATAACCTGCAGGCGAGAAGGAGAGAGGAATGTTTTGTAGGCACGGAGACGACAGGAAGTGGCGTTCGTACCCCTGTTGTGGAGTTGAGTTCGGCCAGGATGAAAAAGACGTACTCCTGGCCCGGCTCTAGAGCACGGTTCTCGAAGCCTCCGTAGTCCAGCTGGTCCCCCAACGAGAAGAAGGCTGGTAGGGTTTCAGGTGTGAAACGGGCTGTGATGTAAGCCCGCCTTAGGTCCACCTGCTTCTGCTGTCGAGAATCCCTCTGCCTTTGACTGATGTCTTTCAAAAGCTTTGCGGAGAAAGAAAATGCAGAAAAACTTAACTCTAAGGCTGATACGTTGTTGTTAAAATGGCTAATTGTCGCCAGGGGTTCTTGGAGAAGGACTTTCGTCTGTTTTTGGGTCAGTAGGTGCTGTTGTTGTGGGGGTTCTCACCTCCTCCAGGTCCATTTCATCCGGACTCTTCAGGTGTCTGATGACGCCGCGGGCTCTCCGCAATGGAACCACGACGACATAAATGTTCCTGTTGAAACAAAGGGTGGGGGAAAAATCAATATAAGCCCAAGTCGTTCAGCTTTATGAAATGATCTCATCATGTATAGTTTGCTACAAAGTGCGGTCATCTGTTCTGAGCAAAAACTCTGAATAAAACGTACTTGATGGGAGTGCGAGTTTCCAGCAACGGCAGGATGATGGTGACCGTGGCTTCGGTTTCACGGCGGCTCTGGTCGATCTCAGGACGGCGGATGGTGATCGGTGGGGACGTTTTGGCTGTGATGCGGTGGCGAAGGCCTCCCATGTTGCCCTCGGGAGCCGTGATTTTAAAGTCGTAGCTGGTGTCTGGCTGCAAGTTCGGGATGACTGCCTTCTTCAGGCGCGCGTCCACCTCCATCTTCTGACGGCTGTACTCCACCTGGATGTCGGGAGAAGTTCAATATGTAACATTTCCATACAACAGCCTCCACATTTACTGTATTAGTACCCCTGGTAAAGATGTATTAAAAGGCTTGAAAAAAAAAAGATGATGTAAAAACAGCTGCTGACTTCTAGAACAAAACCTAAAAGGTTTAAAACAACCAGAACGATAAAAAACAAGAGATCCCGTGTTCATCTTGCTTCAACATCTGTTGAACGCATACAGTGGGGCACCAAATCTCCATAAAAAGCTATTTATTATAGGGCTTTTGTCCACATCTTTACCAGTAGTACCAATAACAGTTATGGGGTTTCTATTGACATAACAAGACCAATGAGAGCTTAGGGTTCTAACACTGAATCTGTTTTCTCATTTCTTTGTATTTCTGAGTGATTTTTTGACAATGTGCAGCTTTGTTGGATTTAGTTGCTATGACGCCACTGCTTCTGGCTGTAGCTTTATAACTGTGTCGTGTAAAGTCCTGGAGTAGGACGAAATAGCAAACCTGATTTCAACCAATACCGACAAAACGTTTTCTTAAACCAACTACAAACACATTAATTTTGATAAATCATTAGCAGTTAGTAGCAAAGTTGGCGAACTGAGAATAGGTAAAGCACACATTGATTTTAGTCAAAGCAGAAAATCAGTAAATCAACAATCAGTAGGAGTGGTGCGAATCGCCCCAAAACAGCTGACTCTGTTTTGTATTCAATAGGATCTGAAGCTACCAATTCTACACAGGCACGAAAGGGCAAATGTGTGTCTTAACCAGCATCCATAGTGAATAGTACAGACCCTCTACAATTATCTGAGCTAATGTGTTGCACCAGACGGTGCATTGATGCAGAGCACCAGCACCAGGTGGGGACGTACAATGAAGCGGTAGGGATTGCTGGTTTCTGGAAAGTCCCACGTGAGAAGAACGCTGGTCTTGGTGGCCAGATTGACAGAAAAATTTCTCGGCACATCTGGGACGCAAGCAGAAAAAACAAACAAAGACAAACAAAACAAACAAACAAACAAAAAAAAGAACAATGGTTACTTATCACATATCAACGAGAGGAAATCCGAGGCTCTTCCAGGTTCCCAGCGCAAACCTGCTGAGGTGGAAAATGTTACTCGGAGAGGAGCACATGACGGTTAAGAGGATGGGCAGGTGATGAGGAGAGTGGATGACATGAAAAAGTAAGTAACGGACAGATCGGCTGCGGTAATGTGACATGCCACACTTGTCAGACTGGATGTTCGTGTTTGGCTCTGCTCAGAATTCAGCATGTCAGCAAGGCTTCGGAGAGAAGGTGGCAGTGAAGGTCTATCAGATAAGAAAAGGCTTACCTGCAGATACGGCACCAGGCGCCACTTTTCACTTCAAATGAGACTAAACACTCACCTCCTCTTGTAGATACTGTACACCCTGGGCTCAGTATTGACTTTTACCTGAGGGTTTGTGATAAGCAGTGCTCTTGAAGCAAACATCCATTAACTATGAGCCTGCTTCCACTGGTGGTGAAGGGTAGGTGATGAAGGTACGAGTGAGTGAGTGAAGGAGATTAAGGGGGTGGGAGCAGTTGTGTTCCTCCGAGACTTGCAGAACTCCTTCTCTCGGGGCGGAGGGGGGGGGTTGAGTTGGTGAAAGGTGGACCTGTAAAAACCGGCCCAGACTTCATTTTAGTTTAGTGTCTGGAGGTGGACTCCACGATGAGGGGAGAAGTGAAGTAGAACCAGTGCTTAGGAGCTGAAAAGGTGTTTCCCCCGGGCCCATCGGCCAGCCCTACCTGTTTCAAAGGCCAGGGTGAGGTACAACAGAGCAGGGCTGAAAGGGCCTGGCCCTGCCTGGTTGTGGGCTCTGAGCTGCACCTCGTAGGCTGTGCTGTGATTCAGGCCCAAGATGGTATAGCTGGACTCACTTGCAGGAAGTGTGATGAGCCAGGGGGCAGCAGAGGAGGCCGGTAGGGCAGAGGAGCCCGAGTCAAAAGCCTTTCTGTAAGCTACGGTGTACTCTGTGACGGCGCTGCTGCACTCGTCCGGGGCGGGGGGCAGCCAGGAGAATTGGAGGGAGCAGCAGGTCACGTTCACGAAATCGATTAGCTTAGGGTATCCTGAGGGCGGACACGTGGGGACGGCTACTTCCTGTCGCGTCGCATTTCCGTAGCCGGCTCGGCTTTTCGCGGAGAGGACAAAGACGTAGGAGGACCCCGGGGAGAGGTTTCTGACAGTGAAATTTCTCTCTTGAGGCTGGAAATCCACAGTGCCGTTTAACGAAGCGTTCTTCGGCCCGAACTGGAGGCGGTAGCCCTGGATTTCCACTGGGGCCGCCCGGCCATCAGAACCTGTCTCGGAGCACTCGAGCGGAGGAGACCACCTCACCACCACAGACGAGCCGGATCCCGGACGCACCCACAGGGACGGAGAGCCGGGCACTGCAGACAACAGAGTGGGCAGCATAAAATCGGTTGTAACGTCCACTCTAAAACCATGTATCATGTAAATCTCGCAGAGGAAATTAGCATTGATCTGCTGTTTATTTACGGCACAGCTTGCTGTAAGATCAATTCCTGAATGTGTTACTAAATCCAGAGCGCTATATAGTTGACATGTGCTCACCAATCCCTGTGGTCCGCACCAGCTTAGCTTTGCTGTGTGCTCCATCCCCTTTGGTGGTGTACGCAGCCACTGAGACAGAGTACAGAGTCTCTGCTTTCAAACCTCCTAAAACCAGTTCCTGATGGAGGGAAAACACACCATTAAATACTGAACCTCTTTTCTATGGAAAATGTGATTAGTTGCTAAAAAAAATATGATGTGAGTGCACAAGTTATCACTACATTGAAACAAAACAATTGCTGTTTTCAAATACTCCTTTTTTACTTACTAATTTAAGTACATTTTAAGGTAATTTAGATGATAGATGAAAGGCTACGATAAAATGTAATTCCAACATGCGATAATAAAGCATAAGTTTTGTCTGGAACCACATTTCAACGTGCATTCTTCACTCGTCACACTAATGTCCAAGTTTGTGGACAGAGTTAAGTGCAACGCTTCACAAACAAGGTACAAAACAAATTACAGAACACGTTTTCTTCTTTGCATAAGCAGAAATGTCTGTTGACAGACATGTGGTCTGCACATACGTCGCAATAAATTGATTGCGACCTCGGCTCTTCCTGTTAGTTGCAGCCCAATTTTTGTAGCAACGTTTTTCTTTTACTTAACTTCCCATTATTATGGTGGGATATAGAACTCTGTGTGCACCAAACCTTTTTCAGCAGTGACATTTTTGTGGCTTATCACCAATTAGAAGTGGAGAACTGTTCCACAGTCAGCAGTTCTCTACACGACATGTTAAAAAACAAACTTCTTTAAACTTCTTTTGAAACTATACCTTTCTGAGAATTGTGGGTTTTGCAATAAGTACCACATATTATCACTTGAAATTGTGTGTTACTGATGCACATCATGCACACAGTATAGTGTCAGTGTGCAGGTTTTCAATATAAATTGCTGAAATAAAATAACTTTTCAATTAGATTCTAATATCTTGTGATGGAGATGTAATAACAAAATGAAGAATTATCAAAAGATTTTATCAGTTTCAGTGTATGAGTACTTTAATGTGCATTTTTATGGGGGTTTTTTAATATATGAATTCATATCCAGTCTGATGGAAATAGTGTATGTTTTTGGAAAAATGATCATTAATTACACCATCTTATTTCTTCAAACATAAAACGATCTTTTCTTTTGGGACATGTTCAAAGTAATCAAACAAACAAATATAGAATTAGATAACGGAGGATTTGATTAAATCTTTGTTAAGAATGTGAATTTAAAGTCTGGGACTAATGCTTTTGGATGGATTTGCTTGTGAGCTCATTTATAATTTCCTTGTGGGAAAACGACCGGCAGTCTGCACTCACATACTGAGTCGAATCATCCTCCTCCATCTTGTCACACAGAAGAAGCACGCCCCCGTAGGCAGCCGAGACAGATGAGACGAGGAGTGAGTCAAAAGATTAGACGGGGGTTTGGGGGAAAGGAAAATGTTTACAGATATTAGAGACGAGAATCAGTTTATCTTCGAAATGGCGATTTCACCTGGGATTCGTCCAACAGGAGGTCTTTGATTCGGGGCAGGGTGCGTGATTCACCGCCCTCCGTGCGGCTGAAGTGCACCTGGTACCCCCGTATCTGGCCTTGCCGTAACCGTGGCAACACGGAGCGCCACGTTACCCGGAGAGCCGAGGAGTTGAGCGGCTGAACGTCCACCTGACGGGGAGCGGCGCCGGGAACTGAGCGCACGCAAATGCAGAGTTAATGAAAAAAAGACAGAGCGTCCCCAACTGGTAAATAAACAACTAACCAATCGATACCATTTAAGTCTGATCAGCGACACGCATCCTCACCGTCCTCGTGCGTTCTGCACAGCACGGCCGGGCTCCTGGGTCCGGTCCCCTCTGCTGTGGAGGCTGCCAGCGTGATATTGTACCAGCTCCACTTCTCCAGGCCCTCTAACACAATCTGCCTCTGCTGCGCTGTGATGGGAGGCCCATCCACCTCAAAGCCCTGAGTTTCTCCTCCTCCTCCTTCTCCTCCTCCTCCTTCTTCTCCTGTCCCAGAAACTCTTTGGTATTTGAGCTCATAACCTGCCAACTCGCCATTCTGGGCCTCCGCCCGAGGCGGCCTCCAGCTCACTCCCAGTGAGGTGGAGCTGACACTCTCGCAGGACACACCTTCAGGTGCAGCTGAGGGCTCTTGGATGGATAGAGGTAAGGGAGCAAATTGGCAAAGAGTTTAGGATATGAAAAAACAAAACAATGAAGCAGTAAGAGAGGGGGGAAAAAATCGTAAGCAAAAGGATGGAAAGCAAGGGCAAAAAAAAAAAAAAAAAAAAA